AGCACATGGCAACTCCACATGACACATCCGAAGATTCACTGGTTGCACTGTTGTATGGAAGCCAGGTGCACAAGATAGGTTGGATGGGGACAAGGTGTTAATACATAGACCGACCCCAACACCGTATACGGATTTGAACTTGTGGAGGAGGCAAGCCGAAATTGCAGCAAAAAAATCAGGATAGCCAAATTTAACCGAAAATTCATTGAGTACGAAAGAGCTCGTTCCGGAGACGGGGCCGGATGAATAATCTGCGCGTAGTTGCTACTATGGGCTCGAGTGGACGATGGGTTGCGGTCGAGATTCTGAAGAAAATATTCGCGGGAGTACCACTCACTGGGTGTGACAGTGCGCAGCCCTCATTGCACCGACAGGCTTCGGTTTATGGAGAGTCCCGTAACGGTCGTCAAGGGATTCGCGATCGGAGGAGTGATACGCATTTCCGTGGCGGCTGCATCTGGGCTAGTCCGGACGATTGACACGGACAGTCAAGCCGATGCAGGGGCACGGATAATTTCCCTTTTGTTGGAGGACCGTGTGAGTGTAGACCGTGGACTATCGTTTTTGAACGAATAACAGTTCTACGGGCATTTAGGCAGCTACAGCCGAAGTTCGAAGCTAGAGAAGGGGGCAACGATGAAGCAGTAGCGTGTGGCGAGGGTCAGGAGGCATGAAATGCAACGTATCCATAGAAAAAAATTAAAGGAGACGATAGCAAGCCGAACGGACCCAAAAAGGCGGACACATTGGCTAGTCCAAAAACCATGTACTAGTTGGGTCAGAGAAGGTGTCTAGTTTAAGGAGGGTAAGAACATTGACGTCGAGGTAGCTAGCAGATATGCTAGCTGTTGGAACGGGCGGTAGTTTTTAGATTAACAAAGAATCACGACATAGGGTTTTTGTTGTGCGAAAACAGGGTTAATGTGAGCGGTGACAGGAGACAAGTAAAAACAGACAAGCAACAGCTTCCCAGATAATTGATAAGAGTCGTAGCTTAAATGAGGTCTACTACATCAACCTAACAAGAAAGAAACACTAAGGATCACCAGTCGCCGAATCAATGCTGTCAAACCCAGAAAACGAATGGTGCATGGCAAAAAACAGCCATTAAGTGCTAGCTGTGACTGCTTGCAATCAGGAAATCATAAGCTATTAGCATTTTGTGCATATGGTCGCTCTAGATGACAAGAGGGAGGAACATATGTGCTACGTTTGGATGATGAAGTGAACTTGGGGTGGTGCGGCTCAACTGAGACGAGGGTGGCAACTCCTTGCACGTCGGCATTAGCCGTGAGCCCCACACAGTACCCTGAGGCCACCCGATGCATACATATATACGTATATTAAAACACACGAAAGGACAGCTGTTATTCGCTTGCATCCTTGGTGTTGCGATACAAGCAACAACAGGAACACTTCCAATCCAGCTGCAGATGAACAGCAACGGTGCTCTTCTTTGGTGTTCCTGAATTAAAGGCCAGACTCAGAGCCACTGGCAATGCGCGATACGCCCGTGCTACTGGAAGGCTGGTGAGCATACGAATGCACCATGGTGCAACGAAACAGGGTGACCATCCCTGCAAGGCATACCCATCCACCACACGAGGTTTTCATCCCTCACGCATGTCAGCAGATCCGCAGGATGACAAGCCACCAAGCAGTCATTGTTGTGGTTTGTGCATTATTAACTCCAGCTACCCGATTTTTTATCCGGTCGGGGGGGGCAAGCCAGACCAGCTCAGTCATTTCCAACAAGCGAACAGCCACTGGAAGAGGCAAGTCATGGACGCAAATGAAACATCAACTACCCATTGGGCTATGGGAGTAGAGTGGAGATCTTCAGAGCCTGTATACAACGGCTAAACAAAGACGGAGCATTGGTATGAACTACCCTGTCAAGAAGAGGCGCACCAGTGTCACGTGTCCGTGAATGAGTGGGCTGTGATGCCAAACAGTTATTGCATTCATGGCGCACCTCGAGACCCAACATTTGAACTGCGTGCGCTGCGCGTGTTCGGGGGATAGCTACGATTGCACACGCAACTGGAGGTCACGGTGAACGGGTTTAAGCGTGAGGCTCAGTGTTAGGGCGCCTGACAAATAAGCATGCAATTTGAAATGCCGGCAATGCATTTCGTGTTTCTCTGAATCATGTGCACAGACGGCGTGACTGCGGTCTGTTGGGCCGACGTATTGTCTTCAGTACACTTTAGCAACAAGTTTGGGCAGTATGCAGAAGATATGCCGAGATTCGTGACTGACGGAGTCTTTCAGGCCACATGAGCGAACTACATCACAAAGCCAAAGGTCCATCGTATACCGGCCATTTTTAAGGCCAAATGCAATCTTTTGGAAACTGAACTACGCTGGCTGAGCGAGGTGAACTAAACTGGTGAAACTCGCTCCCGGAATAGCTTGTCCACTGCCGGAAATAGAACGGTGCTTCGAATCCTAGACACACCAGGTTGCGTTATAAGAATGCAAGTTCTTTTTGGCGCTAGGAAGCACCGAGACATGCAGAAAGAGCCGGATTATTGCCTCGTGCTTCCTGTCAGCTGTGGACAGGAATAATGTTGCAGCCTAAACAGTGTTTGCTATTTCCCCGAAAAGATTGTAAAGCTTTGAGATGCTATGCACCGCAATGTTAGAAATCCGTGAAAGCTAACTGTCCTTAATGCAGTGTCAAAACTGCAAGTGTGTGCGACGTGCAAATGCGCTTGAATTGGCATTATTGGCCTCGTGGGCCCGCATCCCGCTCATCGGTCAACCTGAGAAACAGTCACTTCAGACCTTATCGAGTGCGACATGAAAAACAGCAAGGTCAGGGAAACAAGGCCGGGATATTCCACCATGCCCGACACAGTAAGAGGCTCCTGTGAAAAAAACGCTGCATTTGGAGTGCCATATCGCGCCAAAAATTAAGAGAGTTGACTGATGATGCCATTGAGACTCCGGCCATTTACTCAACCGCCCAAGGTCCCTCTTGGCCAGAAATGGTTTTCCAGTTTTAGTTCATATCAGCCCACCGAGTCTTGGAATTAGTCGGACCTCATGCCTATTGTTCCTTACAAGTTGCAAAAGAAACATTTTTATTATTTAATTGAGTACTTCCCACTGTTTATGACATTGCCCCCATTTCGCGCGGTCCCCACTAGCCGCAAATCCCCTGTCATATCCCAACCTGACGGTAAACGCATGATCATGCCAGAATGTATGCCACCCACAAGTTGGGAATATACGTTATTATTATTACCTTTATGGTTAGGCGAAAGTTGTTCCCGGTGAACTTGTTTTACGCCAATTTTTTTCTCGCAGGGGGCCGTACATGTTTATCCGCGAGTTTTGCAGTAGGCCATGGGCTTGCGCGCAGAGCCATATCAGGCGTTAAGCTATCCACATGCGGCCACCTAGTGTGCGCAGATCAATCCGATGCCATCACAATTTAAACCTACTATGAAAAATTCCTTTTTGTAGCCGGCAGAGTTGGCATAGTTCGTGCATCTGCTTCGCCGCGATGATTGATGCCTTCTCGGTTAGAGGAAAACTCAGCACCATTCCCGGGAATTCAATGGTACGGATAATAAATCAATCCGCATTGAATGATACTGTAGAGCACCAATAGAGGTTTGTGGAATCTCGCTTACGTTGAAGTTTTCAGACTGCGTACTGCTGAATGACAGGAGCAAAACCGGCCAGGGAACCTGGCGGGAGCCTCGACACTGTGAATACTTTAACACCTTGCCAGCCTGGTCAATAGGCTTCACCTGCTTTGAACGTGACGTACCTCGTGTCTCTATTATGTGCAATTTGATCACGCATTTCGGGCGGTCCACGGTGAAATCGGATCCCGCACATCTCCTTTTGGGTCCCCTGTTGTCAGAATACAACGTGCTCATCGTATATACTGGTTGGAGATGTGCCGGGCTGATGTTGAATGAAATTTCCTTGACTGGATTCCAACGAATAATCTTCTTTTGGCGTTTTAAGTTGCTTGCTGGACCAAGGCGAATGCAACTTCGCGTCGTGAGTCTTTTGCTTACTATGTAGCCGCAAGCCTTTAGGCGGCAGTAAAGACTCCGATAAAGCCTTCGACGACATTTGATATGCCTTGATTGGTTAGCAAGAGGCAGAACTATTCTGAACCAAGTTAGATGATGGGATTATCCCGAGGGTTAAACAATGTCCGGAAAACATTATGTTGGCTCCGCTTTAAATCAATGCTAACCGTACAGCTGGTGGTCCATCCCTAACTGGTGGGTGACGTGACATCAGAAATGATCACAAAGGTACGGTCAGAAAAAAGGTACTACCGATGTCAGTGCCAGTAGTGCGTGCAAGCAGGGTGATCTTAAAGGGATTGGCGTTATCTGAAACAGATGAATTCACGCCTTAACTGGGGCAAACTTATTACAGAAGGAATTGGTGGCGAAGAAACGCAGATAATAGGATTTTCATGCTGGCGGGGAGCATACCAAGATGGAGCAAGTTGAAAGTTGAAAGCTGAAAGTGACGGGCAACAACTGACGGGGTATCGTAGGCACTCCCGTAAACTTTATGACCTCTGATCGCTTATGTTAACAAAGAAAATTACGAGTGAGATTAGCGCGAGCAATCTAGCTCACAAATAATTGAAGTCTACTTTACTCCAGGATGGAGGGGCGCTCCGTTCCCTGGTGTTGCCTTTCTTACTTCTCAACAATTCATGGTATTGTAAAGGCTGACGAGAAGCTATTTTCTGACTCTGTCGCTGTCCTACTTCCCTGTTTTCCTTTAGCTCGCTTCATTGAGCCATTTTACTCATTGCTGTCTAGCCTGATCCGTAATACCACATCTGTAGATGAAATAAGCCTCACTCTCTGCATACCCTCAGTTACTTTGGCTGAATTTACTTTCACACTCAACCACCTTGAAGATTTATCTTCCGATTCCTTCATCCTTATTGGTGAGCAATCATCCTGGGAACTGTTTACCCCTCATCCGTTTACATCACCGTGGGTCTGATGGTTATTGGTGCTTCTGTAGCCGCACTTGGTGATATCACATTTGATCCACTTGGTTACACTTTCGTCTTCAGCAAACACTTCTCCACGGCTGGGAAGGCGATATTGTCTAAGTCACGACTCCGTGACAAGGGCTGTTCTAGCTTTGAGCTGTTGTACTACAATTCTGCTTTCATGATTCCCCTCCTGTTGATCGTCACAGCACTCACGTCAAATGTTTTCCGGATAATTAATTTCAGTTTTTGGACCAATCCTATCTTCATCCTATACTTAATATTTTCCTGCTGCTCGGCTGTGTTACTCAACTATTCTATGCTCCAGTGCACGCATTACACGTCCGCACTGACGGCTAGTATCGTTGGAGTGATTAAAAACATCACCGTCACGTATGCAGAGATGTTCATCGGAGGAGACTATGTATTTACATTGACTAACTTTATTGGTGTCACAATCAATGCAGTCGCCTCCGCGATGTACGTAGCAGCGAGATGTAGAAAACAACCGCAGGAATCAGGAGTCGAGGTCGTTGCTCGTAAAATGGAGTCCACAGTCCTCTCTGTTCCAGCAGTGCAGGACAAAAAACAAGCAGGATAAACCAACCGATTTTGCGAATGCTTCCAATTTTCGCGCTTTGTGGCATAATTTTTAGACGTTGGTACAATTTTATCAGCAAAACTTTTTACGGGAAATCTAGTCACAACTCAGGAAATTATGACTAGACCCAAGCCTTTCAATGCACTTTCTTACTTGCACGTCAACAGTTGGCACTACTAGCTCAGTACTGACCGCACAGCTCACTTTTTAAAGGTAGTATTTACTGGCTAGATTTACGAGCGAACAGTGGTTGACGAACGCTGAGCGCCCTATATTCTCTTAATTGTGCATCCAAGTCTTCCATCGCCTACTTTGTACCCACCTGGGAACAGAAATTCATGTTTAATTCATTTTCGTGTGCTGTCTCCGGATTCTTTTTGTCTAGACACGCTTGCTTGTTGTACCTTAACTCTCCGATAAATATGAATCAATCGCAGCTGACCGCAGGCGTGTTGCAGGTTTCGGCCTGGTTGTTCGCAAAAAAGGGGATACAACAGATGAGCTGGCATTTCGTTCCAACTAATCCTGTCTGTCAGCAGCGCATCAAGGGTAACTTGTTCTGAAATTGCGGTACAAATTATTCGTCGGCTTTAGTCCCCACTTTAGCTACAATTGTCCACTATACGAACAGTCAAAGCGGCCAATGTCATAAAAACCAAACTGATCGACTGACTCTTAATACGATGTCAAAGAGAATCAAAGAAACAGAGGGATATTTTTTTAACTATAAGGAGGAACTTGAACATCATGTCACTCGGAGCGGAACGGAACTATAAAATTCCTGGGATTAAATAGTCTTTACGTTGAGTGTGGTCCATATTAAACCACGGCATTAACTTTATCACTCTTGTTTTCATTGTTTGCCCATATTAAGTCGTGCTATCTGGGTTGTGTGTGCAGGTCAGAGACGCACAACGAAAGATAGTTTTCCAAATTGGGGCTGTTTATTTTCTTATTTAATTTCATTTTCCCGATCGATATTTCCTGTCAGTCTGCTTTCTTGCTCGTGGTGCTTTAATAACGAGATTTCAAGATCACCAAACACCTGGATTTCGTCATCACCAACGAAAGACACTTCGTTAATCAGGTACCAGTTAACACTCCACTGACATAGCGACCACTGTGTGCTGACCTTTGATTTCATCTGCTATTGGGCCGGAAATCCCTAACCTCAAGCGGTGGTTTCGAGACTTCTGCCGTGCGGACTTCTCAGGAATATCTTCCTTGAACAAGTCCTTGAACAAGACATCGCCGCAGAAACAAGCCATCCGCGTTCTCCTTGAGGGACAGAAACGGAGAACCGGCAAACGACCCAACGCTGGTATCTGAGGTTTACAGAGAACACTATGCATGTCTATACTCAGCCCCAGCGTCCTCTTCACTTCCACTCTTGTCAAGGCGGAACTACGAACAGCCTCTAACCGACCTTGTCTTCGCCGTGGAGGACATTCGTCAACTCTTGCACAAGATCAAAAGATTCTGAGCGTTGGGGCCCGACCAGGTCCATCCAAGGATCCTGAAGGAAACATCGTCCACACTGGCAAACCATTTATACCTTGTGTTTCGTCAGTCGCCTGACGAAGGCCGCCTTCCCTCTGCTTGGAATGAAACGATTGTCACGCCAATCTACAAAACTGGTGGCCGACTATCGCCTGGCAGCTATAGGCCTATAAGCCTCACTAGCGTGCCGTGCAAGGTGATGGAACGCATTCTGAAGCAAGCTATCCTAGATCACCTTACTTCCGGGAATCTGAAATCTCCAGCTCAACACGGTTTTCTCCCAAACCGCTCTTACCTTACAAACATGTTCGTGTT